TTAACCAAGAATCTAAGCAAAACCCTTAAAATTGGCTGGAACTAGACACGCATCCTTAAAGGAAATAAATCATAAAATTCCCAATTTCATTAAAAATCCAATGAAAGTTCAAATTTTTTCTCAGCGGAAAGACGAAAATATCTCATCTTACTTGAATTTTAAATCAAAACATGAATATTGGAGGACTAATTAAGCTGAATTCTCAATTCATTGAATAGACAAGAATGTATTCACTCGAATTTTCTCAATTTCTATCAATTTTCCTGAAATAATTGAATTAATACTTCCAGTTTCCATTGATTCTGTCATCAAATTGTCAAATTTTAATGATGAAATACCTCAAATTTTTATTGGAATGGCCATCTCATAAAAATTCCCAAAAAAGAGCGGAGATTTCAAAAGTCTTTCACAGGAAGTGATAATCAGGATTATTATCAAGTGGAACTTCTTTATTTGAGTTGCCATATGTGTTGAAATAAAAGAGGTGCTCGTCTGTTCTAATATAACCATGATATTCAGCACCAATTTATGTTGAATCGGGATTGGAACCAATCTTCATAAAATCAATTAGACATTTAAGAGGAAATGTGTATCGTTCTGTCCGGGGATCGAACCCAGGCCCTTCAAATTGCAAGTTGGCTAGTACTACTACGTGAGCAATTCACTTCTCGGCAACTTTGCTAATTTAAATTCCCTGTATCTATCAAATCATGGAAATCATTTGTTAGACAATTTCGCAGACCAAAAAAATAATAAATCAATTAAATAAATTGAAAAAATTTACTCAATTTGAAATGTTCACAAATATTTGTTTTCCATCCAACGCGGAAGACAAATTTTTCGTCCATCATAAAAACATTTTCCGAAGTTGATATTTCAAATAGAACAAAAATTAGTAAGACATGAGAGTACACTGAATGATGACTGCAGGGTTGATCAGGCAGAGTGAAAGCAAGTGATGCATGTCCCTTGTACACGGTAATCCTGTGACTGATCCTTGTAAGTGCTGTATGCGGGACTTTTCCAAACACGTTTACCCCTTTACTCTCGTCTCTGAGGAGGTGTCGCTAGACGACGATCAATCACTGCGTGACATGCTCTCTCCGTCGCCCTCCACCCTTTACTTTTTTTCCAGACGCTTTTCCAACAAAGACCCCCGAAGAATGAAACCCCCATGTAGATACAAAAAGAAATAAGACGAAAATGACAGAAGCAAAAATAATAAAATGAAGATATGGTTGGCCCCTAAAAATTGCAGGCCATATGATACTTTCACAGCTTGTGTTCCGCATTGTAGAGAGAACAGTAAAAAGTAATGTATTCATGAGATAATTATTTCTTGCATTTATTAACTCACCGACAGCAAACTTTTTATCCGTATCGAAATTAAGCTATACAAAATTATTTTTAATTCGCCACAACTTCCCGTGTAATTACCCATTACATAACTTTCACAATTTCGATAACAGGGGATTATTTCATTGGAACGATTGCTGCCCCAATCGACAATGCAAATGACAACGAATTTCTCACATGATCAAACTTGCAAACGGAAACAAAAATATGAGAATTCATTTGCATAAATGCAGACAAAAATTACCGAGTCGTACACACAAAGAGAAAAGTTGCTTAATAAGTGTCATAGAAATCATGTAAAAATTATATTTCGAACCATAAGGGTTTGAGAACAAAAGAGAAAAAAATAATTTTTCACTTGTATTTTTCGTGTTCTCACGTGAAAATTACCGAAAGAGCATTTCGCCTCACTTTTACACTTGGTCAGATGACTTTTCTCAAATTTTTCTTTCTATGTTGCAAAATGGGCTGTATCTGCCAGACAAAATAATATTTATGTCATTGGGCCCGAGAAAACCGTGATTCTAACCGCGCTTCGCTCGGTTAGATCGCGGTTTTCGGGTCCAACGACATAAAATACTGTATGTCACATGGCGATAAAAGCATTATCTGGCGAATGTGATTATAATCCGAGCCGAAGGCGAGACAATACTTTTATCGCCTGGTGGCATAATATACTATTTTGTCACTGTTAAAAAGACACAGTTCGGCACTCGTTGAACTTAACATTATTGACAAAAAATATAGTTCAGACTTCGAGTGGCTGTAGTAGTCACACGGGGAGTGTGTGGCTCCGGCGGTCATCTAAGCTAAGCAGCGTTCAGTCTGCCCAGTACTTGGATGGGTGTCCGCTTAGGCACACCTAACCGCGTGGGACTACAGTCGCTAGGCACGAATGTAGGGAACCACTGTGCCCATTGAGGCAGTATGACCAATGGACACAGTGGAATCCCTGCATTATCGGCCGGCTGCACGACTGAGGTTTTCCATGGTTTCCCTGGCCGTCCAATCCCGAATAGGGTGCAGTTGGGGGTAAGGTAAGTCGGCCCATGGTAACGCAGATAGGGAAGGGAACAAAATGAAAAAACCCGAGAGGGTAACATATGGAACCAAAAAAAAAATATATATATATAGTTCAGACATATGCGCAACGAGATTTTTTAGCTCGTGTAATTGGCAACCCTTGGCTTCGTCTCGAGCTGCCAACTTCACACTCGTGAAAAACTCGCCGCACTTGTATAGAAATATACTATTCCTGTAGCAGTGATAATATTCATCCAACAAAAAAAAACAAATTTCAATTTGATACTTACGATCTTGAAATGAAATTTATGGAAGTCTCAAATTAAGACTTTTGAATATCTTAAATGGAGTTTTGAAACTCTCACGTTAAGATTTTCGAAAGTCTCAACTTAAAAAATTTGAAAGTTTCAGTTTAAGACCTGAAAATCTCCATTTGAGACTTGAAAATCTGAATTGAAACCCTCTGAGTCTCAAAGTCTCAAGCTGATATTTGAAGGTCTTAAGTTATAACCCTCTAATGTGAATTTCAATATCCCCACTCTACGGCTGTCAAAGCGGATTGCCAGCGTCCCCACTCGAGCACCCTAATACGCTTTACTGCGCTTTTCACCTTAGAGGGTTAAGACTTTCAGAAAGTTGAAATTGAAATTCCAATTTGGCTTGAAAAGCCTTAAAGTGGGACTTTTGAAAGTCTATATATAATCCTTTCAAACATCCCACTTTAAGGCTTTTCAAGCCAAATCTATATATCTCACAGTGACAGTTTATAGAGTTGGCTTTTCAAGCGAAGTCTATATATAATTCTTTCAAAACTCTCAAGTTAATATTCTGAAAATCTCAATTTAAGATATTTGGGATATCTAAATAAGGGTTTTTGTTCCGGGTGTTCCATTGATTTTATGTACAAAGTCCGAGGCGCGCACATTTTTCCGTGCGGCATGAAAAATTTTCCTAAGATTTTCATATAAAATTCATTACATTTAGGGTAGAGAATGCTGGGAGAAAAGTAATATTTCCTGCTCTTTGCAATCACAATAGCCGGGCAGAGCAATTTGAAATCAGTTTAGAAGACGAGCACAATAATTTTTACCCTATTGTTTTTCTCAGTGCAATATTCGTATTTTGAGCGATCCAAATGTACCCCATTAATTCCATTTTGAATCGCTTATTTGTCAAATCCAGCTGAGGAAACCACGGATCCACATTAAGTTTTAAGGTTTAAGACATGAAGGATTTCACATAATTAATAATAATCAGCAATAACAATTCCAACATTTTTCAACCGTAAGAATTACAAAATCACTGAGGTAGTATAGTCCAATCTCATTTTTTCAATTTATCCCTAATTCGATTAATTATTGGTCAAGGGGAAATATTAATCCCTGATGGGATTTACCCGTTGATAAATTCATCTCATCTTTTGAAAATGTAAAAAAAAGTTAAGAAAGATATCACTAGTCTTGATAGTTCAGTGCACCAGGCGATGGGAAGGGGTGTACCAAGGGCTAGAAGGGGGGTCAGACACGACGGGTGGAATACCAATAGTCAGGAAAAGAAAAGGAGAGAACAAAGACCGAACCTTTTTCGCGGGACGACACGTAGTAGAGAGTAAAGAAATATATCCACTCTGTTGTGTCATATAAAAATGTGTTTATGTGACCGTGGCAGCACGGGAAAACGGAAACATCGCAGTACCCCGTCTTCCAAACCCACCCGCCCCTTTATGTATCCATCTATATGTACACGTGTATACTCACTGTGGTCAAGTGCAAGAAATGAAGAAATCTGCGAAAAAAATTAATAATAAACGTCTTTTATCAATTGTGTGTGTCGACTGACACGTGAGGACTGTTGCACACAAGAAATTCGGGAAAATGTGCGGAGTATTGTGGTAGTCTTTTCAGGAGGAATACGGGAGACGGACAGTATAACGATGAGCTTCGTTTCCGTTTCCGGCCTTCATGATTTTCGCCCCGTCAACTCCATTCTTCGATGGACTGCCTACGACCCTACGCTTCACATTATTCCGGACTGTTTCGTCTTACAATCAACGAATAATCGATAAATATAGGTATGGAGCAGATAAATATATTTTTGCTTCCAAATGGAAGCATTCTATTCGTAAAATGCAAAATTTCCAATTTTTTGCGGTAGGATAAGTCATTTTGGCCTCAGGAGTTCAAATATGCTATTTTTAGACTATGTCCGGAGGTATGTATGTATACACGGAGAAAATTATTGTTATTGAAATTCCCCAACTAGCCGTTGAGATTCACCAACTAGTTGTTCAAACAATTACCAACCAGTTATTGCACTTCAACAAATAGTTGTTGACATTCACCGAATAATTTTCTCCGTGTATGCGTGTGTGTATGAGACCGATAATTTTCGACAATAACTGAAAAATGATTGCTCAAATGAATCCAATTGTGATTTAGAATGTTCTTGCCAACGCCATCTTAAGGAGGGGAAACCTTTTGGACACCCGAAAATGAGGCATTTTTTACGATTTTTTTTTAAAGTGATAAAATAATTGCATCATTTTTAAATTTTAACGTCATTTTATTACAGTTCTGAAGCGTAGAAAAACATTTTTTTTAATACAACAAAATGGCGGCTCCATAGGGTATTCCTCCAGGCGTCTTTTGCGTGGCATCGAAGTGCTGCATTTGTCACATTTTTTCTGTTGATCTGAACAAAAAAATTCTTCCGATTACTGACATGTGCCCAGGAAGGATAAACCTATAAAATTATAAAAAAGCACAAAATTGAAAATTGAGTAGGCTGTTTACCCAAATGTTCAAATTTTTGCTCATATTTTCGACAATTGTTACCCCAAAACAAAAGTGATTTATTTACGCGATATCTTTAACTTTAGGTACATCCTTCCGATAATAATATAGACAGTAACCTCCCAAAATTTCAACCAGATCGATCAATAACTTTGTGAGCTAAGACACGAGCAGTTTTTGAAAATGCAGTTTCGAGATAATCACGTTCAAAGATCCAATCGGATAAGATCATTAGTTTTAGTAACTTACCGATCAATCAGCGATTCCAGAAGTATATAATAAGCCTTCAACCTCCTCGAAAAGCTGGTTACCTTCGATCTGTTGCTGTCTTCCGGCTGTACGAGCTGCTTTTGTCTCAGAAAGACTCGTCTGGTTCTGTCTCGCTACTGGCGCCTCATCAGTATTTTCGGCGAAAACTTTGGGTTAGGTGCCAACAATTATATTTAACTCTTTCATAATTCTGAGAATGGAGTTATATCCTTCATTAAATATCCCAGCAGCAATGTAGGCTGAGATTTCAATAATTTTCAGCCCAGAATACAGGTGTTTTGGAGATACCCGAGTGGAAATTCCGGTCAGGTCTTGATCAAGTTTAGGTCAGGTTGGACCTGACCACTGATCGGGTATTGATCAAGTTGACAGATTCGGTGTTGATCAGACATGTTACGCTTCTGACCAATCCGGAGTTGATCAGGATGAATGGATCCGAACTTGATCAAGTCAACTCTATGAAAACCGGATGACCTGTCTGTCAGTATCAATAACAATTATCAATGATAATTAATCCAAAACAAAAGATAATTCAATTCTTTCACCGGAGGCCGCCTCTCTTAATGAACCCCTACTGTCATTACCTCTGAAAAAGCTTATCATTTTTTTACCAATGCTGGGGATCCAGGACCCTATGATCCAGGGACCCTATGATAGCTAATCTTATGCCCTAACCACTACACTATCGTGCTATTACTGTTGAGTAAACATTGCCTATATGATTTGTATCGGGGTATTCGCTGAATTTACGATTATTCCTGATCTCGCGGATGTGCGTGTGTATTCTCAGAGATAAAATATGTTCAATTGAATTTTTATTTATTTCATTAATGAATAATAATAATAATGATAATAACAATCACCCTAATAAATAAATAGACATTTCGTGATTTTTTTCTCAAGATCATTTGCGTGTAAGTTTGATACTCCTCTAATACGTATTTACGGCATGATCATCCCTCCTTTCTGTACATTTGAGAAGAGCTGGTTGTTAATTAAATTGATTAGTTTAATTAAATTCATTAAATTAAATTAATTTAATTCAATTTATTTTAATTACAGTATAATGATCGTTTTTAACGATTGAAAATAATTATTGATAATGGTTGATAAAACTTAATTTCAATAGTATAATAATAGTTGATTAAATTATCCGAAAAACTTATGAAAATTAATGTCAGGTGGAGCGGATCTGAATCTGATCATTTTCTCTTCAATTGACCCCTTTCAAATGCCGCTCAAGGACATCGAATCCGAATTTGATCAACTTGGGGTCAGGCAGCCGACCTCAGTGTGAAATCGTACCTACCTGATCAGAACTTGATATGAATCAACCTGCAGTTTTTCAGATCCGATCTACTGGATCAAAACTTAGGTTAGGTTCTCATCAGGCATCATCTGAACATGTCTATCTGATCAGAATTTGATTTGAACCCGCCTGTAGTTTTTCGGATCCGATCTGCTGGATCAGAACTTGGTCAGGTTCTCATCAGGAATCACCGGATCAGTCAAACCTTACAAAAACCTGATCAAGTTCTGATCGTGCTTCAGGTGGGCCTGAAGCAATTTCCACTCGGGTAATCGCCAAACTGTGCCGCTAAATCTTTCATTAGCATTCTGGGTGTGGCCACCCAAGCATTTCACGCCGCACTTGTCTTCCGATGTCGCAAACATTTCTTTCATAGCACCAACGTCCATTTTTCCCGATGAGCTCTCATGGTTCTTCATGCATTCTTCTTCGTGATACTCAAACCATTTAGGATATTCTTCAGTATGAGTCTTGTTTTTCCAGGATATACAACCTTGGCAATAACTGCTTTTTACAACTAAATCAATCACTTTGCTGGAGTAGTAGCCTATGAGCGTTGTAACACCATACAATGATTTGAACCTGCGTTTTTTCCACGTACCATCACCGGAGACTTTGAGATTTTTTCTTCCGTTCCACATTCAACATTTTTTTCCATCTCTTCTTTAACAGCTTTTTGTGACAAAAACTCAAATGACCACTTAGCAGCTGCATGAATATGCTTGACAATTTTAGTGTAAGTACTTTGACTGTTCTCGACCCGAAACTGTCCTTGGTAATTACCTTGGTAATGTCTTTTTTTAGAATATTTTCGAGTGATATTAACTCGCGTTCCTTTAGGATAGTTTGGCATTTTAGATTCGAAAATTCAACCGCACACGACAAACGTTCCGGCCAAACTGACTCTAACGCTCGAACAACGTTCGTTTCGTATACCTGAAGTTACATGCTATATATATATATATATATATATATATATATATATATATATATATATATATATATATATATA